AGGGGATCAAAACACTGCTGATGTCCGCCTTGCGCCACAAAGGGAAGACAGTGGTGTAACGTATGTAGTCATCGACAACCAGCAGGAAGTAGCGCTCCTGGTCCGTTCCACGGACGGGGGCTGGGCCCCAAACGTCCATGTGGAGAGTCTGCAGAGGAGTAGTGGTCGGAGGAAACTCGGAGGAATGAGGAGCGGCGCGCTGCCGCCCCTCGACGCAGGGAAGGCTCGGCGGGGCAGGCGAGCACGGGAGGGAGGGCAGGGACCTGGGAAGGCCAGAGACAAGGAGACGGGAGTGCATACCGCGGAGACGCGGTAGGGAGGGGTGACCGAGGCGGTGGTGCCAGAGGAGAGTCTGGTGGGAGAGTACCCGACACAAGCAAGATGCTGGAAGCTGACCAGACGCAGGCACTTGACTCGCCGCAGCCACCTGACCTGACTTAGCCACCTGTGCACACGCAGTGGTCAGTGTGAATAGACTAGACCCAGGCCGTCGACTGAACGTACCCAGGTGACGGCCAGTCCGGGAGCACGTACAGATTGCCACACACTGCCCTCCAGGAATAAAGGTATCAACCCAGACATCCTGAATGGCAGCGTTGCTCACCAAGTTCGTCGAGAACGTGGGGAGGTGGAGACCTGACAGAGAACCGGAGGGTATTGCTAGACACGAGAGGACAGTGGAGGCTCGTGCGACTACTGGGCCCTCAGTGGGGTCAGCGAGTGAGACCGGTGCTGGTGCAGCAAGTGGTATGAGTGTGGTGCAGTCACGAAAGAAGCAACGTGACGCACCTGAGTCAAGTGTGAAAGTGTGCAAGGCCTCAGCTGAGGAAGGACCTGTGGCGGGAGACGCACGAGCACCTAAAACTGCAGCAGACTCACTATCACCTAGTGTTGCAACAGAATCACTAGCACCTAGTGCGGCAGCAGACTCACTAGCACCTAGTGCAGCAGCCTCGACAGAACCAGTGACACATCGCTGAGGAAACAACTCACTAAGCACCTGAGGGGAGAAGGTCTCCTGCTGACTCTGCTGCCACCTCTGTGAAAACCAAAACCTCCACCACCTGGACAGGCTCACTGAAGAACCCACTCGCGAAGCTGCTGAGGGGTGGGGTCGTCCGGGAGAGGCAGTGACTGCCGCTGTCCACCTCTAGCTGCTGCAACTGCTGTGATACTGGCCATGACAGGCAGTGACGGTCAGTAGTAGGTCCAGCACCTCCGGCACCAGCAGCACCTCCAGCACTCCCAGTCGCACCTCGGGCACCAGCAGCACCTTCAGCACTCCCAGTCGCACCTCCAGCACCCCCAGCACCAGCAGCACTCCCAGCACTCCCAGCAGCACCTCCACCAGCAGCAGCAGTAGCACGAGCAGCAGCAGCAGCAGTAGTGGCAGCTCGGCGGCTCGGTGGGGCTGGTGATCAATGTAGGGCGGCGCGGCTCGGGTTGGGCAGGGCGGCTCGGGCTGGGCGGCGCGGCTCGGCCGGGCAGGGCGCGCCGCGGACTGCAAAGCAGGGCGCGCGGTGGACAGGGCAGCAGGGCGCGATGTGTGGGGCAGCAGAGCGCGATGCGCTGGCTGCAGTAGGGCGCGACGCGCTGGCTGCAGCAGGGCACGACGCGAGGGGCAGCAGAGCGCGACGCGCTGGCTGCAGTAGGGCGCGACGTGCTGGCTGCAGCAGGGCGCGACGCGCAGGGCAGCAGAGCGCGACGCGCTGGCTGCAGTAGGGCGCGACGCGCTGGCTGCAGCAGGGCGTGACGCGCAGGGCAGCAACGCGCGACGTGCAGGCTGCAGCAGGGCGCGACGTGAGGGGGGGGGGGGGGGGGGGGGGGGGGGGCAGGCAGTGCGAGTAGCTGCAGGGCAGCGCAACACTGTGCGAGCAGGGCCGGACAGCGCGAGGGCGCTTTGGGCAGGAACAAGCGAAACTATCGGTGGGCCCTAAAAACTCAACAGGTTTCCTGCTTTGATACCATGTCAGAATAACTGAGCAGGAATGATTGGATTAGCAAGAATTGGGGTACAAGTACTAACCCTAGAAGTGCTGTACCCCATAAAAAGTGCCCCACTATAGCCTACAAGTAAGATTGTACTTTGACAGTTTGATTCGTCAGACTTAGTATACAATTTTAGTCCGATCAATCAGAAACGGTACAGAAAAAAAAGCTGAAATTTCCTAGTCAAGGCAAAAAAAAAATCTGATCAATCAGAGTTCACAGTAATGGCAAGTCTGATTGTGTTTATAGTAGTACTGCTGGTTTTGGTTTATGCACGATAGTGAGGGCAGGATACATCCACGAGCATTTCACTAATCTACTTAGTCAAGTCCATCACCATCGTTTTATGAATTATCTCCTACCACTTTAGCATTTGCGAAGCTTAGCGTCGCCAGCTTAGCGAAACCAACAGTAGGTTCCTGAGCCGTCTCATCGAGAGAAGCAGAGACGTTCGCGACTGGGGGCGCAGGCTTCTCAAGGGTTAGAGTTGGTAACATGCGTGGAACAGGGCGTTTTCTCGCGTGCTAGCGAGCTACGGAAACGATCTAGGCTGGTTCTAGTATCAGCCGCCTTACGCCACCCTCTGAATCGTCGTCATCGTCACGGCATTGAGGGCATCGGCCTAAACAGCCATCCCGCAATCTGAGAGAGTGTTCCGAGCAGAGAAATAGAAGAAGCACTGGTGACAAGGAGCTGAAGCTAGGTGGTGAAAGAAACATCAGAACAACATGGACTTCGACGATCTTGAAGGTCCTCCTGATTGGTGGGTGGGTTGCCTTCCATGCACGGCAACGACGACTAGCAGCTACCGTCGCTCTGCTCCTTGCTGTGTCGTGTAGCTGCAAAAGGCTGCAACGTGGGTACTGGTCGAGACTGGTTGAGACCTACCGGTAGGATGAGATCAAAAGCTGCCTCAACGACCAATCAGCAACTAAAATTAGACTTCACTGGTGCCAAGGGGGACAAACTGTAATTCCAGCACTAATCACGGCTGTCAGCGCAAATCTCGCGTAGGCAAAATTAGAGTAGGTCCGCGCAAAGACTCTGACGGATCAGAGTACACTCTGGAAAAATAGCTGATGTATCAGACAAGGCCAAAAAAAAAAAGTTGAAATTTCAGAGTTCACAACAAAAAAAAAAAAGCCGAACTTTCAGAGTTCACTAGAAAATATGGCTGAAATATCAGTGTTTTTTTAGGCAGAACATATAAATTTCTCTGACTTCTGGGGGCCTGATACTTACTTGTTGGCTAAATCACGTCGCCCTCAACTCACGCTGATTGTAGTGATTAGAATATGCCCTTCTACGGTATAAACGTCATGGCTGGTAACAAAACTGAATCTGTCTGTACCGCAAGCATAACGTTAGAGCGTGCACGTCTTTCCTAGCGATTCCTCCCACCTTCGGCCTGCTAACCCTGAGACAGCTAGAATCGACACGCACATCTCACTACACCTCAACTCCTGCCTCCCCCCTCACTCAACGTCAGGGCTGGGAACCAAGCTGAACCATCCAGAAGCCTTTTTCTGCGCCTCAAACGTACTCTTGGGAGCAAATGGCAGCTTCTCAAAAGCGAGCATGCTGCTCCTCTCAGGAATCACATCCGCAGCACCACTAACCCCTCTACTCGCCTTCCCCAGCTATTCCACCCTCCTCCCCCCACTTGGCCTGCTGAACCCGATACCGCTAGACTCGATAGGCAGCTCTCACTACCTCATTCAACGTCAGGGCTGGGAACAAGGCTGAACCATCCAGCCGCCTTTTTCTGTGCCTCACCCGTACTCTTGGGAGCAAAAGGCAGCCTCTCAAAAGCGAGCACACTGCTTCTCTCAGGAATAGCGTCCGCACCACCAACCCCCCTTCTCACTCTCCCCAACAATTTCCCCTCCCCTTGACCTGATAAGCCTGATTCAGCTAGGCTTGATAAGCAGCTTTCACTGGAAGACCGATGCATAAGGGAGGATTGTTTCTTTCTAGGAGACTGAATCACTCGATCTAAGGGCCTCTGGGACTTGAGCGGGAGAGCAGGCGATTGGGATTCTTGACCGGGTGTAAAAGACAGCCCAGAAAAGGATAAATCAGGGTATGAATCCACCCGGCGGTGGAAAATCCCCACGAATTTGTCTGGCTGGATGGGACTGTGAAAGCGCTGTGGTATAGAGTGGTCTGAAGGGGTTGGTATGAGGTGTTTAGAGCTGGGTTGGTTGTAGCTGGGTGAAATGCGGTTCAGATTGTATCTGGGTGGGTTGTAGCTGAAAAGGTTGTTACCGGCTTGGCTGTAGCCTCCATCATTCCAGGGCTGGAAGTTGGGAAAAGATTCCACTTTCCTAAATCCTGGAAATCCAGAGGTTCGGAGCGGTGAAGGGGAGTGCAGAGCAGCAGTGTGCTCCAGCGACAGCAGGTTCGGCACCGAACCTATTTTCCGCATGATGCTTGCTGTTGTATCATGGTGGTGGTGTGGTGAAGAGAAAAGCGGCTCCAGCGTACCTGCTTTCAACCTTGGTTTCATCCCTTGCAGAAATTCCATACTACTGGAGCGGTCCAGTGTGCAGTTGCTGAGAAGCTTTCCGGAAATAAACGAGGCTTTGAGGGACACAGCTGCGTCGTCTTGGGAGTTAGAGTCTAAGCCAAGCTTCCCAGAACCGACAGCTGACTTGAGTGCGTCAGCTGGATACGATATATCCTCATCAGCTGGATAAGCCGGGTAAGCATCAGCAGCACCAGCCCTCGCAGTACCAGGCACCGCAATGCCAGCAGCAGTTGCGGCTCTGCCAGTCTTTCCAGCAAGCAGGGATGCTTTGAATGAGAGCATGGGGTCGTGAGAGACTGGGTCGGCGGCCGTAGCAGCGGTACGCTCAGTGGTGGTCGAGGGCTTGTATTGAACCCCTGGTGTCGCGTGGCTGGAGTGGCGTGGCGTAGGCTCTGCTGCTGCTGCTGCTGCTGCTGCTGCTGCCGCTGCTGCTGCTGCTGCTCCGTCAGCTGCCGCTGGATTGGCTCTGCTAGCAGCAGTGCTATCGCTCAGCTGCTGACACAGCAGAACCTCAAGAATGCCATAAGGGGAAGGGGAAACAGGGGCAGCGTTGACAGCTGTGGCAGCAGCTTCAAGGTGGCTTGCATGGCCTGTCGTCAAGCTTGCGTCGTAAAAAGGGCTAGACGGGCTCGGAATGTAAGAGGAGTTTGATAGGTTTGAAACCGTGCCTGCCTTTTCTCCACCCGCTGTAGCTGCTACCCCGGCTGTTGCCGCAGCACCAGCTGCAGCCGCCACCGCCGCCGCCGCCGCTGCTGCTGTTGCCGCTGTTTTCGTTGCAACACCACCCCCAGAGGCAGCAACGCCCAAGTTCGGACGGAACTGGGAGTTCTCCCAAGCCTGCCAGCTGGCTGTAGCAGCAGTGACGGCAGCTGCTACAGCCTGGCAGCGGATACGTTGCAGCTGAGAGTGCCAGTCGGAGTGGGAGGAGGCGAGGGCGCGGCGAGAGGCTTCTGCTGATGCGGTGGCTGCTGCGAGTGAGATGGATTGGGAGCAGAGGGATTGCTGGGAGGGGAGAGAAGGTGGGATTGGGGAGGGTTGGGGAATGGATTTTCTTTTTAAAGTCTAGTGAATATGCTGATGCGGCGGCTGCTGCAAGAAAGAGATGGATCAGGATCAGAGGAATTGATGGGCAGGGGGAAGGTGGGATTGGGGAGGGGGAGGGGGGGGTTGAGGAGAAGGCACGAGCGGGAAGGAGGGAGGGAGGGATGAAATGAGGAGGGAGGAGGGAGGCAGTGAGGGAGGGAGAGAGAGGGATAGAGAGCAAGGTAGGATGGGAGGGTGAAAAAGAGTAAGGAAAGAGAGAAGAATGGGGAGAGGAAGGGAGGAATTAGATGAAAGGGGACGGGAAGGCAGTGGGAGGGGGACACGAATACAAAGCACAAGAAGCAAGAGAAAAAGGAAGGATGAAAGAAAGAAAGAATGAAAGAAAGAAGGAAAAACAAGCAAACAAACAAACCAGAAGACAAGCTGACAAGGAGATCTGGAAGAACAATAATGCCCAAGAACAAAAGCAAGCGATGGTTGAAAAACGCATGATTCAAATCAGGTTTCGAGAATAACAATGAAAGCACAGCATCTCCTTCAAACCATCTCCATCTACCCAAACACCTCCACACCACATGCGCCTATCTGACAATACGACCCGATTGGCCTGGATCCATCCTTTTGAGTGATAAGGCATGGCAAGACAGCATGCGGGACGCTAAAAACTGCGAGAATATGTTGTCTTGTGGAGCAAGCGATTGCTCTGCAAGGTAACACTTGCGGGAGTCTCTTGCTGCAGTCCTCACTCTCAGCACGAAGGCTGCAGAAAGGACACAGCGCACGACACAAAAAAAGGGAAAAATGCAGGAAGGACAAAAAAAAAGGGGGACTCAGAACCGGGAATACAGTCTAAAAAGGTTTTGTGTTTTCGCAGTTTCGATATTCGCCAAACTTATTTCTGCCCTAACCGATCAGTACCGCACACACTAACCAGACTGCACAACCAAAGGTCTCAAACTTCAAGAGCGGGAGAGAGGAGGGAGGACTGAGAAAGAGGGGGCGGGCAGGAAAAAGTCCATCTTCTCACCTGCAGAACCTGGATCTGCGATTTGTCCCGAGCGCTTATTATCTCAGCGGCTTTACGTCCACTAATCAGCTGCTGTTCCAGCTGTGCTGCTCTCGCCCTCTCTGCTGCTGCAGCCGCCCTGGCCGCATCTGCTGCAGCCCTGGAGGATCTGAGCTCTGCTTCCAGCTCGGCAATTCGCCTCGCAAGCTCGCCTGTGTTCTCCCCACACTGATGGCTCTGCTTGCATGCACATCCGTTTGAACCGCTGTGCACCACACTGGGAGTAGGCGAGCCAGTGGACGAAGCAGGGTTGCTGCCAGGGCCAGGAGTTGGAGTTGGGGCCGAATGGACGGTGGGAGATGGATTTGCAGCCAAAGGGACGGTAGGAGATGGAGCTGAAGAAGCCTGCCCCCCCACAAGGGCGCGGATCCAAGGCGACGCTCCTGCATGCGCTGCTGCTGGTGCAGGTGCTGCTGCTGCTGCTACTGCTGCTGCTGGAGGAGAAGCCTTCTGCTGTGCCTGCTGTGGCTGCCGGTGCTGCTGCGGCTGGGAGGCAGCAGATACTGGAGCTTTGACTGACTTGGGAAGGGAAGTTTTGCTCTTTGACTGCTGCTGCTGCTGTGTGAAGCTGGGCGGGGCAGCAGGAGGGCTCTTCTTCTGTGCGGCCCTTGCAGCATAAGAGGCATTCGCAGGGCCTTCACTCTTCTTAAGCTGTGCTGCTGTGTCTGATGCCTCGCCTCCAGCCTTCCTGCTGTAGCTCCCCCCAGACAGCCACCCGCTCACTTCACTCACTCTGTTTGGCGCCTTCTCACCGCTCCCCACCGGAATAAACCCATCATTATTATCCGTAACACCGGCACCAGAACCAACCCCGCCAGCAACCCTCTCCCCACTCCCACCAGATCCCTTCTTGCTAGCAGCTGCCATGATCTCAAAAATATCCTGCGTGTCATACTCACTCTCCCCATCCTCCCCCTCCCCCTCCTCGTCTTCCGCAGTGCTCATTCCAGAGCTATCAGTGGTCTGACCAAAGTCCATAACCGAACTCACAGGGGACATACTAGGTCGGCTGGACGACTCTGGGGTCTTCACCACCAGATTCTGCACATCACCCACCAAACCTGCAGAGCCCACCGAACCTGCTGCCGAGCCTGCCACCAAGCCTGCCGCCGAGCCTGGCCCTTCTGCCAGCCCCTGCAGTTTGCTGGTCAGGGAGGCTATCCCCTTAGGGTTCCTGCTCCGGCCTTTCCCGGCCTTCTTCTTGTCCTTGCCGCTTTTCCCCCCTGCTGATGCGGCTGCGTTTGGCTTGGATGCGGCGGCATCAGAAACATCATCAGCGAAAAGTTCGAGGAGTTCCAGTTGCCGCCTCGCCACCTCCTCTTCCAAGGCCGTCCACTTCTCCTCCTGCAGGCAACAATGCCCCGTGCACAGAGACACACACAGACGCATAGACACATAGACAGACAGATGATTGGTTTGGGTTAGCTGGGTAATTTTGAGGGGCCTCAGAAAGAGAGTTCCAGTTGCCGCCTCGCGACCTCCTCTTCCAAAGCTTTCACTTCTCCTGCACTCATTCCCGATGCTGCGATGCACACACACACACACACACACACACACACACGCACGCACACACGCACACACGCACCCACGCACGCACGCACGCACTCACGCACGCACGCACACACACACACACACACACACACACACACACACACACACACACACACACACACACATGAGAGACACACACACACACATGAGATGCAAACAGGCCATTGGTTGGGTTGGATGATAATACTTCAACAGCCTCACTACTGCCTCCTCTAGCGCTGTCCATGTCTAGGACAGCGGATCCACTCCAGAAGTAAGAGGGGAAAGAAACCAGCAAAAACAATGTCAATTACTCGCGGGAGAGTGCTGCAGGATCAACAACACGAATCCCAGCAGGGACAAAGAGCCTTCGGGTGTTGTTTGAGTCAGCTCACAATCAAGACTGCACAGCTGGATAACCCCTCACAATGATCGCAGCAAAAAGTGAAGAGGCCTTGGATGTCGTTTGAGTTGTCTCAAAATTAAGACTGCACAACAGGATCAACCAGCCACTCACCAGGATGGCAGCAGAGGCGGAACCCTTGGGTGCGTCCATGAGAGCAGTGCGACCCTTCTTGCACCTCTTAGTCATACTCGCACCCTTGGCACATAGCAGCTCACTGCAGACGGACACGAGCAGACGATAGAACATGCAAGAACAAGGAGAGATAAAAGGTTTTGTTTGGTCATGCTCATGCCCTTGGCACACACCAGCTGATGGCGCTCATGTCTGTGCCTACCTCCCCCTGGAACCTGCCAACTGGAGTCCCCCACAAGAGAGGGACTCACATGCAGTCTGCAGGGTTGAGGCTAGCGCCGTGGTGAAGGGCAGACAGGTTTTCGTTATCCACAGCACTGACATCCGCCCCTCCCGCCAGAAGCGCCTTGTTTGGAAAAAGTGACTACATGACATGTGTCTATCGAGGATCGGGACTCACACGCAGTCAGATACATCAAGGCCACGTGATTGAAGACGTCTCAAAACACTTCTTCAATCACGAGGATCGGGACTCACACGCAGTCAGATGCATCAAGGCCACGTGATTGAAGACGTCTCAAAACACTTCTTCAATCACGAGGATCGGGACTCACACGCAGTCAGATGCATCAAGGCGAGCGCCGTGGTGCAAGGCGGACAAACCCTCCCCATCCACAGCACTGACATCTGCCCCTCCGGCCAGCAGCTCCTCTGTTGCCGGCACTGAGTTGCGCCCCACTGCGTGCATCAGTGCTGTCTTGCCCTCTGACGTGCGTGCATTCACGTCCGCCCCCGCCTGCTCAAAGGAGGGAAGAAAGGGAGAAAGGGAGAGGCGGAGAAAGGGAGAGGTGGAGAAAGTGAGAAAGGGAGAGGTGGAGAAAGGGAGAGGTGGAGAAAGGGAGAAATGGAGAGGTGGAGAAAGGGAGAGGTGGAGAAAGGGAGAAATGGAGAGATGATAACTGGTTGTTCTGTTGTTCTGCCACCCTCCAGAGTCACTGCGCTGCCTCCCTCCAGCCAGCAGCGCCTCTGTTGCCTTGCCAGCACTGAGTTGTGCCCCACTGCGTGCATCAGTGCTGTCTTGCCCTCCGAGAGTGGTGGGAAGGGAGGAGGAAACTTTTGAGTCGACTCAAAAGTCAACTTGGTGGGAAGGGAGGAGAAAAGACATGTACTGGCTAACTAGCGAGTGAATGCAGTGGTCCCAGAGCCGTTCCCTGACTCACAGCTCTATGTCTAGAGTCGATTCATTTCTCACAGCTCGTGTCCTCCAAAGCCCCCCTAAAGCGTGTGAACGGCTGCGACGCTCACGTGGACGAGCAGGTGAACGCAGTGTGCTTGGCGGCCCTCAGCAGCAGCAATAAGGGGCATGGTATGACGCATGGATGCAGAGCCCAGCGTGCTTTCTTGATTACTCTTATGTCCTGTCTCAATACATCCTGTTTCCTTTCAAAGGCCTAGATAAGCTCACCTGGACGAGCAGGTGGATGCAGCATGCGTGGCGGCCCTCTGCGGCAGCAATGAGGGGCGTCACGCCTCCATGCGACCGTGCATCCACAGCAGCTCCGTGGCGCACGAGGGCTGAGAGAGCCTCCTCATGCCCGTTGTACGCCTGTGAAACGGGTGGAAGAGAGACGTGAGTCACGTTAAGCTTCTGTGTTACCTCGGGAGTCATAGCAGCAGCTCGAGCGCTGAGAGAGCCTCCTCATGCCCGTTGTACGCCTGTGAAACGGGTGGAAGAGAGACGTGTGCCATGTTAGGCTTCTGAGTTGACTCAGAAGGCACAAAAGCAAACTCCGAGACAAACAGTCAATCAAAACAGAGATAAGTATCAGAGTCAGCTTTTAGTTTGTTTACTACAGTGGACTCACAGCTGCAATAAGGGGCGTCACTCCCACTTTGTCACGGGCATCAGGCTGAGCGCCAGCTTCTAGCAGGAGCTGGACGCAGCTGCACAACACACACACGCGTTGGGGAGGCATTGGGTGGGAGCAATGCGGGGGGGTGTTAAAGTGGAACATTAGTGGAGTACTGTGGGCAGCATTAGGCTGAGCGCCAGCTTCAAGAAGGAGCTGCACGCATCTGCATGAGACACACACGCAGAGGGGCACAGCGAGGGTGCAGAGGGGAAGAATCAGGGCACATTCAGGGACGCACCACGGAGGAGCATCGAGTGTTCATTCAGGGAGCATTGGGGGAGGTTGGAAGAGCAGTTGGGGAGAATTGGGGGCAACAGGGACGCATTGAGGAGGAACTGGTGGGAGCATTGGGAATGCATTGAATCGTGTGAAGTCAGGTGCTTTCTGCTCTTTTTCATAACTTGGTCCGTGAATCGCGCACGCGCGCGCGCGCGCGCGCGTGTGTGTGTGTGTGTGTGTGTGTGTGTGTGTGTGTGTGTGTGTGTGTGTGTGTGTGTGTGTGTGTGTGTGTGTGTGTGTGTCTGTGTGTGTGTGTGTGTGTGTGTGTGTGTGTGTGCGTGTGTGCGTGTGTGCGTGTGTGCGTGTGTGTGTGCGTGTGCGTGTGCGTGTGTGTGTGTGTGTCTCTGTGTCTGTCAAGTCAGGTGCTTTCTTTTATTTTCTGAGTTACTAGAACGGCAAACAGGTTCAAGCGTTCCCCGCAGTCCCTCTTACTTGGCGAAGCCACTGTCAGCAGCGGCCAGCAGGGGCGTCGCTCCCTCCCCGTCCACAGCATCAACGGACGCTCCAGATTTGAGCAGCGACTCGGCAATGCCTACGTGGCCATTTCGGCAGGCCGCTGCAAGATGAAGAAGAGAGAGGCGGGTGAGTGGTTGAGTGCTGAGAGAGCGAGTGAATGGTTGAGTGGTGAAAGAGCGAGTGAGTGGTTGAGGGAAGAGAGAGGCGGGAAAGTGGTTGAGTGATGAGAGAGGCGTGTGAGTGGTTGGAGGGAAGTGAATAGTGGGTGAGTGGTTGAGTCAAGAGAGAAGCGGGTGAGAGGTTGAAAGAGCAATGAACCAGGATCAAAACATTAAGTGGGAGAAAAGGGACTGACAATCAAGAACTGAAACGAAATCACGTCAGGCAAGACGTCATGAAAATGGCCCTGAAACTCTACCAACTAAGCGCAATCCACTGCACCTGAGAAAGCGTTCGCGAGAGAAGCGGCACGCCCAGCGATCCATGTAACATCCGACCTCGCTTCCAATTTCGCCAGCGCCTTCGCCACGTCGTCAGCCTCCCCCGCCTGCGCCGCAACCAGCAGCTCGTCCAACGGAGTCCCAACAGCCGGCCGCTTCGTCCCATCATCTGCAGCAGAACCTCCGCTGCTTTCCACAGAGTTGCCACCAATCGCATTGTGCTGTCTCTCTTTCGTCGCCTGGTGCTCTTTCCACTCAGCGCTGCCCAGGAGAGTGATTGTTGACTCCATGTCGCCGCGAGGGACGGAGGAGCCGTCGTGACGCATGCCGGTATCTCGGATTTCCACGGCGAGTTCCCGCGGAGTGCGTCCGATCTTGTCTTTGACGAACGGGTTGGCTCCTGTGAGTCAGCACGGGTGTGATTGCAAGTTCGAATTTGTCAGAGTTCGTTTTTCAAGTTTCTGTTACTGTGTGTGGAGGCTCGACAAATCACGTGTAAGTTCGACAGAACGTGTGGGTTTCGACAAAGGCGTGGGGGCTCGAAAAAAAAAGGGGAAATTTGCGCAGTGGAGGGTGAAAGGACAGGTCAGCTGTTGAGAGAGTCACACCTGCTTTGAGAAGGAGCTCGACTGATTGACTGCGACCGTAGCCAGCTGCCATGTGGAGGGGAGTGAACCCCTCGTTGTCCCGTACGTTCACCTCAGCGCCTGTACCAGCAAAACGGGTCAGCGGTTTCAGGGCCTGTAACTTCCAAGTCTTTCTTTCACAGTTATTGAGTATACTGGGCTGAGAAATCAGGTGAATCTTACCTGATTCTAGCAGCACAATTGCACATTCTGTAGAAACCATCCCGCAGGAGAAATGGAGAGCCGTTCGGCCCTTGTCATCGGTGCCATTGATGCTTGGTTGAACCAGAGGCGTCTTGAGTGCTCTGGACTCCAGAGCAGAGACTGCCAAGAGAAGTAGACGCAGAAATTGTCGGTACATTTTATGCCGGTACAATGTTCGAAGTTCTCTTGCTGCTTTGAGTTCCACTGAACGAAAAAGGGCTGATTGGCGTTCCAATTTAGCGAAGTAACGCACCATTTCCGAGGCCAAGTGCTGGTGACATGACGCCTGAAGCTCTACCTCCCGACGGGTTCTTGCTGCTCTGTTTCTTGATGTCTACGATTGTTCGTCTCAGCTTGCGAATCTGCATCTTCTTCGCTGCTTCTATGAGGTTCGATACGAGATCAGAAGCATCCGTCTCTTGCTGCTGGGCCTTCTGTCGGACGACAACGGGCTTGAGAAGAGCACGGCCGTCCTTCGCCGTCTTGGCAGCCATGAAATCTGTCGACATTTAGGATTTAATAGCTAATTGACGTCTTGGACGGCAACTGTCAATATATGCAATTCAGGAACCTCACGACCGGAACGAACGAGATGCCAGACACGAGTAATGCCTTTCGAACCAGCAGCAGCGCTAGCTGGTCCGCAAACTGGAAGCTGGTCAAGTCCGCTGAGGCACCATCAACAAACCTCGCAATTGAGGCGCTTCGGCAACACCAATGACCCTGACAACAAATCTAGGAATTTTAACGTCCGCTACAGTACTAGCAACCCTAATGTATCACTCTTAGCTCTGCTCTGTTCCGTACTGCTATGCTGCTCCGTACTGATGAGCTGTTAGAAACGGGGTAATTACATTCTGGGTAACCAACATTGAGCCCGCTGACGTCAAAAGTCACCTACGTGGCTCGATGGTACCCGTCAGATCATGCGCGCCCCTTGGTGGTACCCATCTTCCCTCCGTGGTACCCATCTTCCCTGCGTGGTACCCATCAACTGTGCGCGAATTCCCTGACTGGTACCGCAACATTTCAACCGAGCTGTACACCGTACAACAAGGGTGTCAATGCGTTTTTCACTATATTGTCTTAACGTTTACAAGCTCAATAGAGTCCGAAGCCCGAAGTGCCACATAATCGGGTCAAATTTTCAAGCGCATTACCTATAATAAAGTGTAGAAGAAAAGCTGAATTTAGGAAAACATTTATTGTGTAGATTTCTTTAGGCTCATAAAAATCCACATTATAACGTGCTATAATTTAAATCACCACAGATATATTGCATCAACCGAAACACAAAAATTAACATCCGTGTAACAAACGATCAACTGACACGTAATATATATATTGACTTAAGGTTATTTGATTTTCATTAATGGGTATTGTTTTTTTTCCAGAAACCAACGAATGTACGTATTATTTGTTTATGCTTTTCTATTTAGCTGTGGGGGTACATGCTTAATTTATTTGCATACAACCTTATGAACTTTGTTCAGATTACCAACTGCGCGCTGAGAAACATGGTCGTAAGATTCACGCTACCTATCGTTCAGTGATGTGAGCTTACAAAGGTTCGGAGGTAACGTGAGGATTTTAGAAGGGGAGTTGATTTTTTCTAGGTTGCACTCTATCCAGTGTAAGGCACGTTCAAAGGTATTAATGTTCAAATGTATTAATGTTCAATTGCAGACAGAAAACGTTGGTATAATATAATGAAAATCGCATTGAAACCCTTGTTGTACGGTGTACAGCTCGGTTGAAATGTTGCGGTACCAGTCAGGGAATTCACGCACAGTTGATGGGTACCACGCAGGGAAGATGGGTACCACGGAGGGAAGATGGGTACCACGGAGGGAAGATGGGTACCACCAAGGGGTGCGCATGATCTGACGGGTACCATCGAGCCACGTAGGTGACTTTTGACGTCAGCGGGCTCGATGTTGGTTACCCAGAATGTAATTACCCTTAGAAACGACTGCAATGCTCAGTCCTGATGCATTGCAATGAGCTGTCGAAAGACCCACTTCACTGCATCAGCCACAGACTAAGTCGCTTTACCACACTGAAACACACTTTAACGTACTAGATCGTACTACACCAGGTGTTAACAGGAAATCATGGCTGTGCACATGAATGCAAGAGAGGGTGGGATCATGGGCTGGATGGGATGGGATGCTTGCCCAAAGCCAGAAACTGGGCATCCAGGATTCGGGCTGAGACAATAAGGCATTGAACTCTTCTCTGATTTGTCCAGGTAAGGGGGAAAATCCACCTCGGGCTATTGGCACGCCACGTGTATTAAAACTGGTTTGCTTTTACTGTAACTCATCCCACTTGGAAGTGACTGACGTGGTCGCTCCTCACCCAACGGCTCGGTGTCTCATTGGCGGAACGAAAACAGCACACCTATGGACGAATTTGCTTCGAGTCAGTCGAGCCTGAGTTGGCGCGTGCGAAATTTCGCGTGGTGAGAGGCTGCGAGCGACCCACGGATTTCCGATGGCTTTTGAATCTTTCAGCCAATCGCAATAAACTTTTACTTTGAGAGTGATCGACAGGTCAGCAAATGCGACCTCGAGAGCATCCTTCAATGCGGTCTCTGTAGGATTCTCGCAATCTGCTCCGTACAGTAAAGTGAATACTGACTGGTAACCTAAAATAACAAATAATCACACAATGTTGTTACATAAGATATTGCCAATCTCTTGATAATAAGCTGGTTCTATATCCTCTCCAGTCCAATATCAAACACGATAAAATCAGGTTTAATGAGGCGCTGTCACACTCCCAGGAAGAGCCTACAATTGTAGCGCCGACTCACTCTCCTGTTGCCCAAACAGGTTCCGAGCTGCACTCACCACCACTTGACCACTACGAGCCGACAGCGACGACAACGCAGCAGTGGCCTTCTGCCCTGGGCCCATGTTTAAAGGTACAGATGAAAACTCTGACGCGTTACCATTAACATCTAAGTCCACATTGACAGCCACCCCCACCATCCCTCCCCCACTTGCACTGAACAGCGCATGGCTACTGCTCATACCACCAGACCCTTGCCTGTGCATGCTTGGCGGTGTATATCCCTGTAACATGCCATTACCACTTCCACTCTGTGGTAACCCTACCCCTGGAGACATTCCCACCACTGCTCCTGGTCCACTGCCCATAATCCCACCTGCCCCAGATATACCTCCCCCTGCCCCTGCCGACCCACTCCAAAGCTCCCCTGAAATCGCTGGCACTGCTGACCCTCCACCCATCATCCCTGTGGAGACTGGACCACCTGAGAAACCACCTGAAGCACCTGTGCCGGCACCTGAAATCCCACCTGTGCCACCCATTCCATGTGTACCGGCCATGCCAGGGCCGAGACCAGGGACGCCAGGCAGGTAAGGGGATGGGAGGCTGTGCATCGGATCCCTATAGGTCTGGGCCCCTGCTGCAATAAATGGCAGCTCCCCTCCTCCTCCGCCCCCCACTCCTCCTCCTGCTCCCGCTGCTCCTCCTTCTGCCCCTGCTCTTGCTCCCACAGCAGCAGCAGCAGCAGCAGCAGCAGCAGCAGCAGCAGCAGCAGCAGCAGCAGCAGCAGCTGTAGCCGACGCTGCTACAGCCGCCGACGCCGTCCCAGCAAGCCCAACTGGGTTGTGGTCTGACATTCGGTAGCTGTAGCTCTCTCCTGCCTGCTGATGCAACCCCGCTGCAGAAAACCCCAGCACTACAGCCGGGGATATAGCCGCTACAGCCGGTGCTGGTGCTGCTACAACCGGAGATGCCACATACTGCGCTACAGCCTGGGAGGATTCCCTCTGGGGGCTCGTGCTGCTTCTCCACCTGCCCGCATTCGGAGACAAAACATATCCACCTGCCCCGCCGCCCAGCCCGCCTCCAGACGCCCGGGGCGACACAGGCTGAAAATATTTCGGCGGGCTGCCCGGAGCGGCGGAAAAGGCAGGGTAGCCGGGGAAGCGGGGCGGACTGGAGGGAGAAGGGGAGTAGAAGGAGGAGCGAGGGGAGGAGGGGTGGGAGGAGGAACGCTGCTGTGCCTGTTGGTCCTGCTGATGCTGCATCTGCTGCTGTTTCTGGTGGTGCATCTGCTGGTGCATCTGCTGCTGCTGCTGCTGCTGCTGCAAAAGCTCTTGGCGGTGGTGCTGGTGGTCTGGGTGGTGCTGGCTGAAACGAGAGAGGTCCTGCTTCGACTGCTGCTGCTGCTGGTTACCAGAGGGGTCGAAGGGCACGTCTCCACGCTCCCTTGATTCGGACTCCTTGAGAAGAAAGTCTATCCAGAGATCCGTGAAGGTCTGTAGGTAGGAGGGGGTTCAGTAGCAAGGGGCAGGTGAGGGGATGACTAAAGAAGGTCGGAGTGCACCTCCCCACGCTCCCTTGATTCGGACTCCTTGAGGAGAAAGCCGATCCAGAGGTCCGTGAAGGTCTGTGGGGGGGGTGGGGAGGAAAGAGTTGGGAGTTGACAATGTAGGGATGGAGTGAGAGGGGGGGGGGAG